ACAAGACAGAATCCTGCCAGACTGAATCTAAACTTCTCAAGCCAGCAAGCAAACACTGCAAATTCCTTACGGTGGTGCCAATCTTCTTAACCTTCCCACGCTCCTGCTGGGGGCTAAGGAAATGCTTATCTCCCCAAGCGCGGCCTTCACCAAATCATTCCATCACAGTAAGTATCTCAAATTTGCTTTCTTTACACTGCCCATTCATTCTGTAAATGTGATATCTGACCACAAGATAATGCAGGTAATTTAAAATTTAACTTACATGATCATAAAAATGGCATCTCCTAGCTTCAGTGTAAATGTTTTCCATGCAGTGAGAATGGTAGAAATAGGCCTGCACAAACATTATAGTGTTGCTCATGGGCTTAAGAGGCAGTAGCATTTCCATACATCATTCAAAGATCATTTTCACACTTAAAATTCAACTGTACCATCTTATTTTTTTACAATGAGGCCTCAAGGACTTACTTTTGTTCAGATTTATCATACCTTTACATTCTGCTGTGTAAATCTTTCTGATGCATTAATTCGGGTGAATTTCATCCTGTATAAGCAAAAAACAAAAACAAAAACAAAAAACCCCACACCATATTAACTTTTTTAAAAAATACAACTTTACTATAGTATGATAAGAAACTCTGATAAAGCACTGAAGTTGCATATATTCTGAGTTCCTATTCCCAAACAAAACTCTAAAACAAACATTGCTTTCACTCTCAAAACATGTCAAAATAATTTTACCTTATTGGGCTGTTTGAATCAAAGGGTTCAGTTATCATCTCAGCAGTGTATAAAACATTTTTAAAGGATCTGTTTGTTTTAGGAGTAGAGGTCTGTTGAGGGACAGCATCTGGTGGATCTTCAGTAACAGCCTGTGAATCCATGGCTTCTTCTGGTGTACCTTGGCTTTTCTTTTGCCGACAATGTCTTCTCGGTCCCTTATTTTTTTGAGAACGTTCTCTCTCTTTCTCTTTTGGTGTTATCCTATTGATTTGACCATAAGCAGTACTGTTCTGGTTATCATTAATATTTAAATCTTTCTCTTTTGCTTCCCCTATCCCCTTTCTCTTTTTGAATTTATTTTTTACTCTGTTACTATCACTTTTTTCAGTATTACTATGGGCACTGCTACTAGCATAAGCTATTGATGTATTATTTGCAGTTTTTTTGTTAGAATCATCCTCGCATTCTTCCTCTTTTAGGTTTGATGATTTTTCTTCAACTTCTTTCTGCTTACCAGGTCCCCTTTTAGCTCCATTTTTTACTGTATCTGCTCCTGGCTGTCTAAAAGCTTTCATAAATTGGTATCGTTCTTCTGCAGTGCATTTCGATTTCACACTCTCTGGACCTGTAGTTTCTAATATTGCCAGTTCTAACTCTTCTTCTGCAATCACCACATTTGATTTTCTTTTTTGAGTCATCTGTTCAGAGTACTCCATTTCTGAGGTAGCCGGACTCCTTTGTTCTTTGGCTTTGCTTTTTTGGTTTACAAAAATAGAAGCAATTTTCTGAGAACGGAGAGATCTTGGAGGGACAGAATGAATTTGGGCAAGGACTGTCACTTTCTTAAGTGGCAAATACTCAGTATGTTGACAAATGTTTGCTTCATCAGAGGCAACAACATTATCAGGTGTCTGGTTTTTTGGACCCTGTTCAAAGTTTTCTCCTTGGCTTTTTAAAAAGTCTTCAAATGATATAGTTATAGTATTGTCATTTAATGGTGGTGTCTTCTGTGTATTAGTCTCAGGATCCAGAATAAATAGTAAACTTTTATTTTCTGATTCAGTGACAGATGTAACTTGTTTATCAGTTTCTTTACATGGATCCTTTGTCTGTATCTCAGTGGGAGAATTTTCAAACAAGTCAATTTCATTTTTAGGGTTCCTTCTTTTTAATTTTTTTGCATTACTTTTTACATTTCCTTCTATCTTAGTTTTTCTTTCCTCATTTCTGTAGTTAACTGTGTTGAGAGAGCTTTCACTACAAATATTTAATGTCTCTTCCATATTTGTGAGGCTAATCAGTGCAACATCATTACAAATCTTACAGTTCTCTTCTTGTGGACCAACTGTCTCTTTATCATCATCATTATTCAGTTCCATCAAAGGCTCAAGCTCAAGTGTTTTCTCAGTTTTGAAGTTATTATTTAAGTTATTCTGCTTTCCTCTCCACTTAAGTCTTGATAGAGGCTTTGAAGAATTTTCCAACGATGTTGAGTTTGCTTTGCTTTTCTGCTCCAATAGGGTTGAAGCAATACTCTCATTTGTAGGAGGTAGTTTTTTAAAATAATCCATTATATTGTTAGACTTTGGTGGTGACAATACTGTCTCAAGATTTTTCCCCAGTGGAGAAAAATAGCTGGTAATTGCTTTAATAGAAAGGTCATCTTCCTTCCGTTTTGTACATGACTGTAAAGAAAGAACATAGGAATAAGTATAATAAAATGCAAAAACAATATCTTGTCAAGGTGATATTCACTTTGGTATTTTTTTAAAGATTCTCACCATATCACTCACAAATTCATGGCATGTATTTTTACGTGCTGTGCAGTGCTTTGGATTCACTTAGAGGCGCTTTAAAACATATGGGGGCTGCAACATAACATCCTTCTGCAACTCTTTAAAGCAGACATAAAACAGTTCTTTCAGGACTGAAGTATCTTTTTGAAACTGAATCTGAAGTGCTGCAGTTTTTAAAATTTGATTAACAGACAACAAATTCAGGCTTCAGTTTAGAGAACCCAGCCCAACTTTCAGATGAACCAGTGCACAAAAATGAAAAAAAAAGGCTGAATAAACATACAGTACTTACTTGTCTTTTGTATTCCAGCAGATTGCTTTCCCAGTTTCCCTTCCAATGGGCCAGATAGAACAAATGCATATCCATAGTATGCATATTTAAACAAAAGAAAGCTAATCAAACTGACCAAAGATAAGAAAATGCCCTTAAATAGGGAATACAAGGCTCCACATGAACCATTACCAGACGCTGGATAAAGTGTTAACGCAATTTCTATAAAAGTCTTTTTGAAGAAATCTTGACAACTGTAGTTTAACTAATGGTTCTACGACATTTCTTACCTGATACTAAATTCCTAAAAAGAGGTAATACCTTACTACACTATTTGAACTCCACAGAATCAGATGGCCCTTCTTGAGCCCTCCTGGTCGGGAATTACAGTATGCAGAAAGAGTTCGTTAGAAAGCCAGCAAAAACAGTACAATTATGGCACCTCCTCTCTACGCGACTTTGAAGTCCAAGGATCAGCTGCTATGGATCAATGCTTTTGGGAGGGATCGCAAAACAAAAGTGTGTTATGCTGAAGGGGAAGTATGAAATAAGCATGCTAATGCAGGCAAAAGGAAATTTCATTTCCCGCTTAGAAGTCAGATTTATAGGCAAATATTGCATGCATATATTAAGGGGGAGGGAGAAGGTGTTAAAATATTAAATCCAGTTACTGGCGCCTATACAAAGAGATCTCTGCTTATCGCCGCTTTCCCGTCCCGCTCGTCCGAGCAAAAGCAGAGACACCGAGGGGAAATGCCTCCCCTTGCTCTCGCGCCTTTCTCCTTAGCCCTTACCTGAGCAGCCCCGTCAGTAGGTGAAACTGTAGCGGCCGCGAACACGGCCATCTTCCCTGCAAGAAATTCGCCCTCCTCAGCTCCTGTCCGCCATTCAGCGGGAAGAGGAACCGTATCAGAAATTCCCGCGCGAGACTACAATCGGGCAAACCAGAAAAGACCGCGCGGGAGGGAGGGATTCGGGGCGCTGTGACACTGGAAGGGAGGGGCGTGCGCTCCTGGGGCGCACGTGACAGGGGAGCCGTCTGGGGACCCGCTCATTGCCTCGTTCCATGTCACGTGAACCGCTAAGCCAATTAGAGGAAGGATCCTCCCTGGGGGGTCGGGGAGAACGTTTTGCTTTGTTTTCCGCAGATACTAAGTGGTTGAAGGCTCTGCCGAGTTGAACCCGGCTCCCGGTGACCGTGTAGTTATTTTAGTAACAGTATGGAAGTGGGTGCGTTGCATTGTGTTCTTCTGGGATGTTTGTTTATTTATATTTCAAATTTAAATACCGCCCATCTCACAAAAAGTGAAATGTTGTTTTCAGTTCATTATTTTCAGTGAGGGTAAAGCTTTAGAGAGAGAGCCATGTTTATATTGTGTAGAAAACTATGTAGTCTTGTAGGTGTGCCTGAGAAGCCTCCAGAGCCTTGAGTATGGCCCTCAGAGATTGAAACTTGCAATGAAATTGTAATATTTCACTGAATTTAATACAGGTGTGCACGAAAACCAGTATGGTGTAACGGTTAGGAGTGGAGATCCAGGTTGAAGTCCACCCTCAGCCACAGAAACTCTCTGGGTGGCTTCAGGCCAAAATACCTCAGAGGGTTGTTGTGTGGAAGAATCAGAGGAGGGACCATTGTTGTTGTTGTTGTTGGTTGCACAATCAGCCAGATGTTCAGACTGGAGTTGGCATTTTTATCCACCTATTGAGTCCTTCCTAAGGGCCTGAGATAGGCAGATGTTGTTTGATGGTGTTAAAGGTATCGTTGCGGGATGTAAGCTGTTCCAAGAAAAGCTGCCTTTTGCAATTGACTGATGGTAATTTTGTCAATGCCGATGGTGTTCAAGCGGTGTTCCAGGTGTTTTGGGATTGCACCCAAGGCACGTATAACTATTGGTACTATCTTTGCTTTCTTTTGCCACAGTTGCTCTACTTCTATTTTCAGGTCTTTATATTTTGTGATTTTCTCCAGTTCTTTCTCTTCTATTCTGCTGTCTCCAGGTATTGCAGTGTCCACTATACAGACTTTTTTGTCTTATCAATAACTGTTAAGTCTGGGGTGTTATGTGGCAGGTGCTTGTCTGAATTCTAAAGTACCGGAGCACTTTAGCTTCTTCATTTTCTATTACTTTGTCTGTTTTGTGGTCCCACTAGTTCTTGCTTGCAGGCAAATGGTATTTCTTGCAGATATTCCTGTGCACCATTGTTGCTACTTTGTCATGCTGTTGTTTGTAGTCAGTCTGTGCCATCTTCTTGCAGCAGCTAACTAGATGGTCCCCTGTTTCTTCAGCTTCTTTACAGAGAAGAACGGCATTTGCTGTCTGTTGCTGTCTCCTCAATTCTGGCTTTATATGCATTTGTTCTTAAGGCTTGGTCTTGTGCAGCCAGAATTAGCTCCTCTGTAGTATTATTATAATAAAGTTTTTTGTCCACCCAAATCCAGTGACTCTATATAACTCATCTTGAGCTCCTGAATAAAAAATGGAATATAATCCAACATACAAGCCAAACATTTTGTTGTTGTTTGTTTCAAGTTGTGTTCCTATCTTTTGGAATGGCTGCAGTTCAGTAGAAACAAAACCTGAAATATTTTACTTGTTTTGGGACACATGCCTCCTCTCCCTCCAGGATTATCAGTTTGCTTGCTTCTTTTTATTTCTCTGCTTTTCCTCATGCTTATGCCATGTACAAATCATCATTCATGACATTAACCCTTTGCAAATAGGATCCTGGAATTATTTTTATGGGTTGAATAGCACAAGGCTGGAACATGTTATGCCATCTCTACCCTCCTCCATCTCATGGCTTGCACACCAGCCTATCCATCCTCATCTTCCTATCACCTTTCCTTACCTCCCTCCCCTTAGCTGCCTGTTTTATTCTGAATAAAGACCACAATACAGGTTTGTTGTTGTTCACTTGTTAAGTGATGTCCGACTCTTCATGACCCCATGAACAATACAGGTAGTCCCCAGTTTAAGAATGAGTTCCATTCCCAAGGTCTGTCTTTAAGTAAAATTTGTATGTAAGCCAGAACAGTATTATTGCATAATACTGTATAAGTAGTATTGGATAATGAATTTGAACCATTGTGTATTTAACTTGAATTTTGCTACAGTAGGCTTCATTCTTAACTATGAGTCATCAGTAACTGGGCATTCTTAACCTGTGGACTACCTGTACATCATAAACTGACCTTACAGGAGGGGGATCAGATAGCATTCTGACAAAGGTTTGTAGTTCAGCATGGCATATAAACATAGCAACTGACTTAAGTGAAATTTCCTTATCAATAAATACGTAGAGCCCCACTGAAGCACATAATTTTAGATCCCCTGGATCTACTGTAATGTGTGTTGCAGCATTCTGACCCAAACTCCTCCCCTTACATACCTGCATACTTCTGACACCAATAAAAAATGTTATAAGCGCTCCCAGGTTTGGCTTATGGTCACTCACTCACACACTCACAGCCAGTTGAGGTGTGCGGATCTTATAAGCCCCCCTTGCTTTCTACTTGGGTTTTCCAGAGAGCAGACAAGGCACACAGCCCTGGGCAACAGGTGGGAAGTAATTAGGGACACACACAAATCACTTTCAACGGAACACTGAGGCACAAACAGGTTCTTTGGGATACACGGAGACCCAGTGAATTTAAAGTAACAGCAAAACTTTACTGGCTACAATGTACATTTGCTCTTTCTCACATGCGCACACACACTCATCCACGCCTACCCTCATCCTCAACTAGGCTGCCAGGCACTAACTAGAGGGATGGAACCTGCCAAGTCTGGATCCAAAGACAACTCAAAGAGTGGGTGGGCTTCAAGAACCCCTTTTATCCCCAAAAGTCCTTGCTTTGTTGATTCACAAGTCAACAGCTACTCACAAGTATGGAACAGCATAGCTTTGTGACTTCACAGGATGCTTTTTATCATTTTGGCATCATCATGGCTAGCTGAGAAGCCTATGCTTAGACTTGTATTTACAATAATTGTTTTACAGTAATTATTGAAAGCTAGTGATTTATACTGTCCCTAGCATCCCTTTCTATGCCGATATAACAGTATAGAGGCCAGCTTTAATATTGCCTCCACAATGGGTGGGTGGATGCTGCAAGTCTCTAGTGAGGAAGAGCAACTATCAAGTATTTCTTTAAATAATTGACTCGTGAGATAGTTTCTCGGAATCATGACCCTATTCTTTTAACACATGCCTGCCCATCCACCATAGATTTGGATTTTTTTAAAGTCCTTTTTGAGGGAGTTAACTACGTCGCTTCTGTTAAAAGCAGAAAACAAAACAGCTATGAAGAGGATTATAATCTTCAATCTTACTTCAGAGTCAGGCCATTGGAAACAGTGATAATTCCGAAAAAAATACAAATACGAATTTATAGCGCGTGTTACGTCCACTTCAAAGAGTGGCGAACCTTGGAGACTCCGCCCTTTTTCCTGTCCGCCCACGATTGAGAAGCCCGGATGTTCTTCGCTTCCGGATGTGAAGCTACTGCCAGTAGTGGGCTTGGCCGGGTGGTGGGGCCTGCCGCTCTCGTTGCCGACTGGCAGTGCGTTGTAATCGAGGGAAATGGAGCTCGAGACGGAGGCGTTGTTGCAGGAAGCGCACGAGAGCATCGAGGCGGCGCGTACCTACCGCCGTGAGCTGCAGCAACGCCTAAAAGGACTGCACCTGGCTCGCCAGCAGGTAACGGTGCGGGCGTGATTCCGCCGGCGCCCGTCTGTAGAATCATCCTGCAGCGGTGGGGGTGGGGAGAGCGGATGTGCGGGGAACCCTTCTGCAGTGTCTTGGTCTCCTCTAAGCTGTGATTGCTAGCTGGAAATAGAAAGCGATGCGTGTTCCCTGTTCAGTTTGCAAGCGCTGCGGTATTTTACTCGATCCGAGTGCAGCTTTAGATTCCCCCCTGGAAAAATAATGCCGGGGTGGCTCGGCAGTCACCCTTTAGCGAAATATAAAGCGTAATTCCCTTGCCTCGTCCGTTCTATTTCTTTAAGAGCTAGTTTGCAGATAGAATTTCCCTTGAGAGCTTATCTAAGTCTTGCTTCTTTTCTCCGTGCAGTGGCTGCTTCCAGCCTGACACAGAAAGAGAAATACAGTGCAGTATAATCCCAGAAAGTGGACTGTCGTCTGTTATAAGTTGAAGCATGTTTGGGTCCAGAGGAGTGGGATGGGAATGCAGAAATGTTACAGTAGATAAACTATTGCTATAATGTTGGCAAGAAATAATACGACCTAAAGAAACAGTGTTAGCTCCAGTTTCTGTTGCCTCATCCTAATATTGCAATATACCCTCGCTTTTATTCGTGGGTTGTAATGAGAACTTGCAAGGACTGGAAAGCCTTTAGGTAAATTTGTGTGAAGGAGCATTGCAGAATGAATGATGCAAGGAGGTAATATTGAACGAAGCAGAAAGCGGTGAGGAACAACAATCTCCACTGAAGTTGGCAATACTGGGCCCCTTGTTCTCTGTAGTTAGTTTATATTTGCATTTATATTTTGAAATAAATTACTTTTATATTGGTTTTTTTATTGTGATGTGACTTCCAGATGTGATCGAAGCAGTTTATGAAGAGAAAAATGCAAATTGGTTGTTATACATTCCATATTTTTTATTAGGATGATTCCTTTATTAGGGTTAACTCATGTTACAAAATACTGTATGTATACGCTTTCAGATTCTCCAACACTCATCAGGCAACACAGTAAACACATATTTTTTAAGAAGTTCTTAAAACTGCTCACATTAACCAAGGCTTTCTCGGTCTCCCCCTTACTCTCAAAAAATTTACATTTCCTTCATATATTTGTTTTACAATTTGATTTTCATTCATTCTGTCTGATGAAACCACCTCAGGGTGCTTTTTCAGGTGGTCACTTATTTTGTATTCAATCCACATTCATTCAGTGCCCTATCATTCATTCTTTCTTG